AGTTGCTAGAAGTAAAGAGGTTTTTTTTTGCAATGAACCGATAAACATTGAGTTATTAATCAACTGATACTTATCTTGTATACAACATATGATTGCCGGTTAATCGAACAAACAAACACCCAGCTGAAAATACAATTCCGCAAAGATTTGGCGCAAAATGTAATCAACTAAGATATTTGAATCGACATACTTCTGTTTATATTGATTAATAAGGAATATTCAGTCAAATCAGTTACATGCCTTTAGAACTATAACGAATATTTTCTAAACACAAATATTAACTAGAATAAATACTGGGCATGGCTGTGGGGATTTATTACAATAATGTGCATTTAAACAGATATTTACACTTTTGCTTGGTTTGATATCTTTTTGTATCATATTACATTTCTCTAAGTGTTACATTGTATATGAAATATCAACATGGGTTTAGCTGGCACAAAATTAACTACCCCTGAGAGAACGCTGTTTAGATGTTCCAGAACAACAAATATTTAAAAAAAAATGTTAAACTTGAAGTAATGATGACTGTCAATAATTGTATAAGACAGTTTGTAAATAGGTAAATATATTCTTATATGACTGCTTTCATTAACTAAGTAGTTTGTCTACCTTATTTGGAATAACAGTATTCCTAAAAATTCCAGTTAACATATCAATTGTGGTTTATTTCATTAGGTCAATTAAATGATTTGTTTTTAAAACTAGAAATGTGTCCATAGGACACGGGTGCCCCCACCGCGCCACTGTTCTGTCAATCTAATGACTCTAGGTCAAATACTTTTTGAGTTACATGCGACACAAGTTGAAAATTGCAAAATTTTACTAAATCAAGGGCAATAACTCTAAAAATACTAAATAAATCCAGATGAAAATACCCAGGTGCACAACTACACATGCTGATAAATATTCCTGTAAAGTTTCATGACTTTAGGTCAAATACTTTTTGAGTTACATGCGACACAAGTTGAAAATTGCAAAATTTTACTAAGTCAAGGGCAATAACTCTAAAAAATCCTAAAAATATCCAGATGAAAATAACCAGGTGCACAACTACACATGCTGATCAACATTCCTGTCAAGTTTCATGACTCTAGGTCAAATACATTTTGAGTTACATGCGACACAAGTTGAAAATTGCAAAATTTTACTAAGTCAAGGGCAATAACTCTAAAAATACTAAAAATATCCAGACGAAAATATCCAGGTGCACAACTACACATGCTGGTCAACATTCCTGTAAAGTTTCATGACTCTAGGTCAAATACTTTTTGAGTTACATGCGACACAAGTTGAAAATTGCAAAATTTTACTAAGTCAAGGGCAATAACTCTGAAAATACTAAAATATCCAGATGAAAATAACCAGGTGCACAACTACACATGCTGATCAACATTCCTGTAAAGTTTCATGACTCTAGGTCAAATACTTTTTGAGTTACTTACGTGCGACAACATTTTGGGTTTAGGGGCTATTTTCTTTGTTATTTTCTTTGTTATCTTAAGGGCTACTAGCCCATAAACCCTTTGATCACGAAATGAACCTATTGTTCTCTTTTGTTTTCTTTACTGTTACATAGCCCCTAAACCCAAAATGTTTGCTCGGAAGGACGGACGGAAGGACGGACGGACGGACTAGGGTAAATCTAAATGCCCGGCACTTAAGTGGGGGCACAATTAAGTTTTAAAAAAGATTTAAGACCGATGTAAGTCAGTACTCCGGCGAATTCGTACAATGTACATGTATCCATAAGTACACTTTTTATTTCGAACAATAAATATACTCGGTGAAGATTGGGGAAGTGGGTTTTTTAATTATTATTTCCTTAACAAACATACAATAATGAAATTCATCACCAATTCAGTTGCAAAGTATACTTTTTTCTCTGGTGTCGTTCAGTTCTATTCCATCTTCCGGCTTTTATCAGAAGTCTGTTATAAAGGGTTTGAAATTTGATGACATATCTAAGCACGTTATGAGGTATAAGTATAAGTACGGTTCGAATTTGAACGTTTCTTCGATTCTTCGATTGATTGGTAGTGTTTACATTTAGAAGAACATCTAACAAAAGAGTACCACTCGTTAAAATATAGTCAGACAATTTATGTTCAATTAAAGCAATTAACCATTTTGAAAAAAAAGCTACTTTAATGACAAATTATTGTTATATATTCAGCACTTACTAGACTTACTTTATTCACGTCGAAAACGTCTAACATGCTACAAAATCGTTATTAAAATATCATAAATCACAAGTCTTTGACCTTTCTACAGAGGGAAAATAGTATTAATTTTACATAAAACTTTCCTCACAACATCAAACATCTGCTGCCATTCGTCTTTTGTAGTGGGTTAGAGAAAACATGCTCATATGATTATATTTAGCTTTAGGTGTTAATTAGTCTAAAGATGTTAACAAAAGGTTTTAATAATAAGATGCTTATCTCTGCTTACTTGTTATGTTTCAAAATTGATTTTTGCAGCGGAATCGATTACTTGTTTACTAAATCATTTTATTTCTTTTTATAGTTCCTACCACATGTGTTTACATAGATAAATCACAAAGTGATGCATAGCTATTCTTATAACAATATTTAAATGAGCAAGCCACTTTTATTGTATATTGATCAGGTTAAATTAATACAGCGTGTGTGTTCCAAATGCTGCAGCCGGCAGATGTCCCTGTTAGAAATACAAAAAAGTTTTTATTTTATATTTACATTTAAGTGGCGTAAAAACTCATTTAGTTTTGAATTATCTTAATTCAATATTAGTGTCCTTATGATTTTGTTAGGTACATTCTTTACCTTCGGTTTGCCAACATGTTATGTGGCTGTTCAAAAATGAGGCGCCGAAGTACATGAGTTGTCTTATATTTAATCACTTGATGAGAAGTATAGCTACTTATGATCTTTAACAACAGGAGCAAAAAACGATAACTACACTCAAACAACACCATCTGTATGTTAACTCATTTATCAAATCATTGAAAGAACAAGCATGATTTATCGGATACTAATACATGGGTCAATAGAAATAAATTACGGATACTAATACATGAGTTAATAGAGAAATTAATTAAGGATACTAATACATGGGTTAATAAAAAAAGGATTATCTACATTCTGGGTTTATATAAATGAATTACAAATCTACATTCTAATCATTTAAAAACATGAATTTTCAAATATAACTTTGGCATCACAAATGAAACAGTAGAGCATTTTAATAACCAAAGCATAATTATATATGAATGTTTCTAACAATCAACGATTCAATTTTCCCCAAAATGATCATATTGGCTAATGAAAAATATCCAACAATTATAAAAAGTGATACATTTAGGGTTCCACAATACATGAATTTCGCTGTATTGGAAAATGTTAAAGTTGAACTGAAATAAAGCAATTTATCCGAGATTAAAGCGGGAAAAATAACTGTTTTAATCAAATGAGTGTGTCACACGTGATCACTTTCGTACGGAATTATAACTGCAATGTGCGGGTCTTCTTTGAAGTGATCGTTATGACAGAAAAATGGAAGCAGTATAACTGACTTGAATAAATCATGTTTTTATCATAATTTGTTTCTCAATTCTCAAATTAAAGACATGATAAAGCCAAAGAAGTGTGTTTTTGACTTACTTCCAGCGCTGTATTATCAAATATTACACCTTTATGTTACAGAAAATTCCATCCCTATATACCTTATATTATATTAAGGAAAGAAATATACAAAGAAAAAATAAAATAAGAGGAACTTGCTTAAAATGTAGTTAAACCTGGATGAAATTTCAAACGAAAAGTATAATAACATTATTAGAAATACATTTAAAACATCCTCCCTGAGTTGGCCATCCACATAATTAAACTTGGTTTATCTATTTCAATAATAATCTGCAACATTTGTAAACACAATGGTAAGCTAAAAATTATCTCAGTTGTTATTATACATGACGATAGAACCTTTTAATTTAAATTTGTAAAAAATAACTAAAAACAGTTATGCTGTCTTTGAACTGAACTGAAGGATTGAACTGAATGCACAATAACGCACAATGTGTTTATAATCTAGCAGGATATATACTGGATATTTCCGTAATGCATCTTTATATTTATAAAAGTGATACAACTCTGTGGTAATTTACACTATTGTTAGTGATATTGATATTGTTGTGTAGAGAGGAAACGTTTCAGACCGAATATTATTTTGATCTAATGTACTGCAAAATATAACAAAACGCATTTCTATCTCTTAATTTTCTATTTCCCGTTGAATTCAATAACATTAACAAAAGAGATGTAATTGCAACATATGTAACATATATAAATTAATTTGATTTTTATTTATATTGAACAAAACATCGGTCCTGTAGACTTCCTATGAACCTTTGGATTACGGGTTTGAGAAATAAAATGGATTTGAATCACAACTATGTATCTAGGGTTACATTTGGTTTCTGGTTTCCATGAAAATAGAGCTAAAATAGACATATAAGAGCTGAAAGAACTTCATGAAATATCATCATTTGAATAAGAAAGGTGTGTTTAACGTTCTGATATGTACATTTTTATTGATAAACATATTTTGTATTTGAACTTTATATTGTTACTTATCATATTTCATTTAAGAATGAATGGTTGGTTTTGCAAACGTAACATATAATATGATAATTTCTGTCAATCATACACAAATCAAATACTGAACGATGGTTATCAAAAGAATAATCTAGCAAAATGATGTGCTTTCAACAGGTGTGTACATGTGGGTTATTACTTATCCTAGGATATTATGTAGTACATCTGAAGAAGATCTGTAAATATTTTTTTCATTTCAATCGTGTCTAGGACTCTGGTGAAATCGTAACATCTTTATTTTGTATCATATTTATAGATTGTTATCAAACTGTTTATTCTAGTTGAAAGTTAATCTGTGTTTATATCATTACCTTGATTACTGGTTTATATCATTGATAAACTTTCCGATTTGTATATTTTCAGGAAAAAAAACTCCCTACCACAAAATCATAGCATCTAGAAATCCAGAGTAGAAAGATCATTATTTCAGGGTATAATCTACTTGAAAATGGAAAATAAAGTACAAAATATCAAAGGATTATTGTGAGCAAGCGTGTGAAAGTACATTCTTTAATAATAACAACCGCAAGTTTTAATTCGACGAACAAGAAAACAATTGTAGACAAAACACAAAAGAAATGTTCTCAGTTGAATTATGTATTCCTTATACTTTGCAAAAAGTAGTATTTCAAATGGATTGAATGTTATAGTATCATTTCGGACAGCTTTAACGTTAAATAAATGATAACAACATGCATTGTGCCTTTCCGTAGATCCTGTGTGGTGAATGTTTAGATACTATTAACATTATTCTGATAGAGATACTATATATTTATTGTGACAGTGTCGAATAAGTTTAATGCATTCACTTATCATCAATGAAATTGTGTATCTGTAACTTGAATGGTATGATAAAGATTTTACCATGGAAAACAATGGATCTATTTCAAACGTCACTGATGAGGAGGATGATTACACAACATATGTTGAATATAAAGCTGGAGAATTTATCTGGCAAATCATGCCACCAATTCTGATAATATTAGGCACAGTTGGGAATTGTTTATCTATCATTGTCCTAACTCGACGGTCCATTCGATCTTCTACTACAGCTTTATATTTAATTGTATTAGCATTGTCCGACCTTTTCGTATTGTACACCGGACTTTTACGACAATGGTTGATACACTTGTTTGAAATTGACGTAAGAAAAATCGGAGAGTTTGGTTGTAAATTAAACATATGGTTAGTGTATAGCTCTTTGGATTTTTCAGCATGGATATTGATCGCTGTAACACTAGAAAGAGTTATTTCAGCCTGGCTGCCACACAAAGCTCGAACGCTCTGTACCAAAAAGTATGCTATATCACTACTTATAGCTATTGCAGTTTTTATTCTTCTCCTCAATGCCCACCTTCTATATGGAATGGTATTCATTTACCGTTTGAACGAGAATGGTGTTACAATTGTAGAAAAATGTGTTGAAATCAACGCAGACTATCGCACGTTTTTCAACGTATCATGGCCTTGGATAGATTTTTGTGCCTTTTGTTTCATTCCATTCACAGTCATTGTCATCGGAAATGCTTTGATATTATTTAAAGTTATAAAAAGTCAGAGAAAAGTACAATCACGTGTTGTGCCTTCAGTTCAAAGTGGAAACAGACCAGTGATACCATCAAAGCATACAGGCAAACAATCTTCTATGACCGCTATGCTGTTTACTCTAAATGTTGTGTTTCTTGTAAGTACTTCCCCGGTCAGTATATATAATATTGGATATCCTTACTGGTCTGAAAATGCAAGTGAACACAAATTTGCTCAGTTAGACTTTTGGTGGGCAATCGTTAATATGCTTATGTATATGAATAATTCTCTAAACTTTCTCTTGTACTGTCTTAGTGGGACCAAATTCCGTTTAGAAGTTGTTAGAATATTTTGCTCTTGGAGACGAGGGAACAATAATGGCAACTTGCATAGGGCAGCTCAATCAAGCTACACGCGTACAAAATTTGACACACCAACAGCTACCCCATCACCTAGACATTCAGCTATTTTCACTGTCAATTCTTCTTTGTCTAACTCAAGTCAGCAGATAAATGTTGACACACCTGAAATGATACAGAAAAGTGGTATGAAAACATTTAAAAATTCTAATAACAGCCTTCATCCAAATGACGCTTTAAAGATTACAAGTGTTATATCATCAAGTAAAACAAGTTTGGATTTAAATGATAAAAGTACAAATAATACTGAAAGAAAAAGACATTGGCTTGACGGATTGAATAGAAAAAAGGTTTATAGAAGCTGTGGAGATCTAAAACAAGACGGAACCGGAAATAAAGAGAACATGAAGCAAAATGACACTACAACCGATATAAACAATGGTTCGGACATTCAAACTATCAGACGCAAGACCACCTCTGCATCTTTAAATAATATTCTTAATCACAAAGAATCATTTCTTACTGACATGACTGAGACTGGAGACAGATTGACAGCTGAAAATAAGTCAGGAAGGTCAAGGTCAGAAACGACACATTCATTAAATGATTCAACTGTATGAAAAAAAACTTATACAGTAGATCATAGGAAAAGCCTTGCATTTGTGTAATCATATTTTAATGCGTTTATGTATAATGAATATAACTTAAACATTGTGATCCTACGTGAATCGTCTTTTAAAGGCACTAACTGTGCAAGCTTTAAAATTTCTCGGACGAAAATGAAAGGCTTTCAGAAATGACTTATAACGTAAACTTATTTTGCATCAAATGGCTTTATAAAAATCTAGAAAAAGTGTAGATACCTCAGAAGGACTGAAAACAACTGAATAACATAAAACTTGCATACTCGATTTTATGGAGCTTGTTCATGAAGGAAAATGGCAAGATCCGTCACGCTCTTAGCACCAGTATTTGATCTTCAACCAACACTTAATGTGCTGGAATTAATGTTCCCGAAGGCTTTAAGTCATTAATTACCAATCCCCTGTATAATCACCATTTTACGAGCTAAATCTTATTATAAAATTATGTTTCATTTAAAACTTGCATCATGTATATGTAATAAAATAGAGAAAAAACAGAATCCTTAAAGAAAGCCATTGGAAAGTCATATTCCAAGTTCTTAACTATATAACAACTAACAATATAAAAACTTTCGAGACAACACATTTTACATATTATTTAACTGAATAGTTTTTTACGTTACCAAATTGTATACATGCATTACTCGTCGCTTGTATAAGATTAAAAAAGATGGTAATAGACAATACATAATGAACTTCGTTTTGATATTTTTTGTGTATTATGTTTCCGTTATTACGCAGATATAATCCAGTTGTGCTCATTGTTTAGTCTATCAAGATTAACTATTAATTTGAGTATCCCTTTCTTGATTGTTTTCAATATTTTGATTCCTATTCAATCTATATATAAAATTCAGTTTTAACCATGTACTCATAATACCATACACAAATATAGTACACAGTACGTTGATATTTTATATTTTGAAATAATATCAAATTTTGAATTTGTGAAAAAGGAGAGAAGACAACAAATGTTTTTATATTTTTTATACATGCGTAACGTTATATACATCTGGGTGTTTCAAATTAAGAGCACCTACCGATAAATAGTGGCAGCTGGTGTGGTTGTTAATGTTATTAATGTGTGTATTTTAAAACCAGTTATGCAATCTGTCATTTCATTTCTGGAAGATTTACGTTATTGGAGTGCCAACCTTGAACTTACGTCACTTTCATATCAAAATGATAACAAACATTGCAATGACTACACATTAACACATCAACGTATTTTAAGAAAATAATTGATAAGTATTAAAAAAAGCATTATAAACACACTAAACACACATTTTATAACATGGAAACGAGACATCATACTATTATGTATCTTATTTTAAAATAGATTGTAATAAATTAGCCTACAGTTTCTTTTAAATAATTGAGAAAGCAGAGTTGCAAATGCGTTTGCGGTGTCAAGGAAATATATCAAATGAATTGTATGCATTTCTCTCTTTCTAATGTAAGGGCGTAAAATTAGTTAAGGAAATTGATAGATCTTTCTTAGTAACAAGGAAGACCCTACGGTGACACGCTATAACACTGAACAAAAGTTATGGTATTGTTAAAACATAACAAAACATTATTGAAACACCTTTTGATTACAAACTTGTCTTGCAAACTTGAAAGGCCGGAACCTGATTCTTTCTAATATAGGTATGAAATCTTAATTAAAAAATTAAAATGATGGAACATTCCAACATCATTATACCATAATTATAATATATTAATTATCATATTGATGAATTGTGTTATCATATTTATTATTGAAGCGGTAAATGGAAAGTCTAATGAATTATAATAAAGAAATTCGGAAACATGTATACCCTTTTATTCTTTTTGCATGACTTGTCCTTCGGAATCATTGATTCCAGCACTTTTAAGTGTTGAAAATTGAGTACCACTCAAGTAGGTGCTATGGAGCGTGAGTGATGGTGCACTTTTTCATTATCCCTTATGTACAGACATAACGATACTGCAGTTGTCATGTAATTTTGTTGTGATAAATGCATCACCTTTTTTGTATAGATTGATTTGTATCATTTGTATATTAAGATCTGTATTGCAATGAGAAAGATAGAAAACTTGAATATATATCTGTATCTGAATCACTCCTGCTTGGATGTTGACATTTAAAATCGGATATATCAATGCAGTTATTGCCTGATAACCACGCGAATGTCATGTCATTTTTAACGACACACATGTTTTCATCGCATGTTAAGATATCCAAATGCACCGAAATGAAATGATGATAAAATTAGTGCTATAACGGAAACATGTAAACGGGAGATTAATTAAAAGTTAGTAATATTTTATCTTTTAAGTGACATAAAACCTAGTTTCTACTTGTCAGAGTCAGAGAAAACAACAGATTCATTTTATGAATACAATACAATAGATAAAAAAGGTACTCGACAATACACACGCCACAACATGTTTACGAAACGCCTAATATTCTGAATATTCGTGTATTTAATATGTATGTAGTTTCGACGCAAGTACAACCTCCCTGAACCGAACATATTGCATGCAATGACAACTGGGGCCAGTATGTTTGAAGGTCGTCATATAATCTGAACAGTTGACAACTAAATGATAATAAGTCCAGTAAAAGAATGCTTTAAGTATCCAGGTCATAATGAAATATTTAAATGTACAGAATAGCATACACAGTATAAATCATGGAAATAATTACATAACACAACCTTATCAGAATAGTTTTAATATAGCGAAAAGCTCTTGCAGCTCAGAACGATCTACTACCATATGTATAATTGCAGATCTTACGATAACGATACCTTTGTATACATTTATCCATCAATGTAATCCCATTTTAATTAAAATGTCGATTTTGCTGTCGTTTTCCTTTTATCAACTTGTATTTTTATAAACTAATAAACAGTTTCTTTAAACATAGCAGAACAGTTGAAATTACCCTTGCGCTGATTGCTTGATAAAGATAAACGTCAATGCCATATGTAAAATATGAGAGTATAGATTATAAAAGGAGGAGTGAAATTAACTATTTTGAAAAAAAAGGAACAATAATACTATTCAGTCACATAAAACACCAAAATACCTATAAATGCAGGAAAGGGACAACAAAAAGGTACGTATGGGACTACGTACGTGAGCCTGGGAATATCTAAAGTATGTACGATGTTGGAAATAAGGTAGCATGAATATAAATATTTTTAGTGGAGGGGAAATTAACGGATGCATATTCTTACCGTTGATTACAATGAACAGGCATGAGACACAGTAAACGCGTGCAAGATCAACATGCAAACTATAAAAAATGATACTGCTTGGAAGGGATAGTTAGAAAATATTGCCCAGAAGCTTTAAAAGGTAGCATGTGTGTTAACACGTTTCATTATATATATATATATATATATATATATATATATATATATATATATATATATATATGAAACTTTTGTATATGGTATATATATATATCCGATGAAGATGCAATACTTTTAGAGTTGATTATAAAAAGATTTGGAGCGGCATTGACAGCAAAACTCCCGAGACATAGACTCGCCAAGAAACAATATCATTTTAAAACGAAGTGATAACATACATTGGGACAAGGCGAAATATGTTTTGAAAAGAAGTTTCGACGACATTTTTCAAACTGTTTATAGGTCCAGGTTGCAGCAATGATGCAAAAACAAAACTGCTTGTACAAGTATAATATTTGTACATTGTTTTTTTTCAAGTACACGTGTTGTTGCTAATTTCTTAGCATTTTTCGTATTTTTAATTATGCACTAATAGAATGTTCTTTATTTACAAACAGTACACTGTTTACTGTAGAATGAATTTTTAGTGCAATTCGTTTTGCATTATTCGGACTTACGTATTTCCTTCAATCTATGATACTGTCAAATAATTAGAACGCTTTTTGTAAGAAAATATCATAACTGTAGCGTTCAAATAGAGAAAATAAGAATCCCTTAAGAAAGTCCAACAGGGCAAAATTGAAAATGTTGCAGGCTTCAAGTTTTACCTTATCTGACATACATTTTCTAAATAGCAAAACTTGCGCTTGATAAGTTGTCTACTCTTTTTCTTCTTTTTAAGGTCACAGATTTTACGTAAATGATTCTTATATTCCAAATTTTTTTTCAAACAACCATAGGATATGAAGCTTGTTATACCAATCAATAAGTCTTTGTTAAAAAAATATAAGAAACATACTGATGTTACCGAATCCCTGAGATATCCAGCGAAAACCATACCGAAGAAGTACATGTTTTTCTTGGTGACACAACATTAACGATCTACTTCGTCTAGAGACTTCAACATTAAAAACACTATTTTGGATAATTATCTATGGGGCAATCTTCCACATTTTTAAAAAACATATTAAAAAAATTTTGTATTTGTAATTCTGTTACAGATAAATGCTTCCGACAAAAACCGTTAATTAAAAAATAAACCCCAATTTTCAACACAGGCTCTGAATAAATATGGTGAACTATACCTTGTTGTAAATCATATTGCTTATGAAATAACTTACATCCCCACTGTTATGCTTGGTATTTAGTAACATGTTTTTTACATGGTCAGAATGAGTATGTGAGCTTAAAACATTATCGTATTCTCCCTTAAGTTTACCCAAAGTTTCGTTTTGTTAGGTTTTTCGACAACCAGACACTGTGAAGGCAATATGTCGCAAATACAGGTAAGATTTTGTTTTTGCTAACCTCGGTTAACAAACATAAAACAACACCAGGGGCGAAAACCAACTCTCCTGCTGGAGCTAAGAGATGCATAGACTCTAGTGACTCGCATTCATTTACGCTTTTACGATCACGCAGGGTTAAACGTTGGCTGCGCTTTTGATGCCCCAACCTGTTGAGGGGCTCCAAGTTTCACATCAGCAACAAATGTCAAATGAACTGAGATAGCACTTACTGTCAACTTAAGGGGAGCGGTGGCCTAGTGGTTAAGGTGTCTGCCTCTCAACCAAGAGATCATGGGTTCGAGCCCTACTCGGGTCACGACCATGTTTCTTCATATGACACCAGTACTGGTTGGTTCCAGGAAGCTGACTCGAAAGTGATAAACATAAGTTGCAAAAACTTGCTTCGCAATCGAGCTTAAATAAATATGTTTAAACCAATATAATCAACTTGTTTTATGATTTTATGTCGTTTACGGTAGGTATTTTCTCAATCCCCTCCAATTTTTTTACCCCCTCCTCTTTTCACCCTTACAGCCCTTATCCCTTTAATTCCCATATGGGCCCATTTTAGTTTATATAATTTCACACATTACATGTCCCTCTCCTTTCGCCGCCCTTATGTCCGCTCCAAGTTTTGTGAGGTACCTCCTGGGTGCCCTACTTGGGTGTATCGGGGGGCTGCGTCCTGTGAACTTTGCTTTACCTTGTTGATCTTTATTTTTGTTTTTTTAGGCCATTTCTAAAACATTTTCGTAGTCTTTATTCCCATTTCTGGTTTATCTGATCTGATGTGTCACTACATAGTAATTATTTCTTCTAAATGTATTTTCCAATTTGTCAGTTATTTCCTGGAAGTTGTTAAAGTTGTAAAATAACACAATATTTAATCAATCTAAGCATGGCACGAGATAGATGACAGTGACAGTGTTTGTAAAAAGCAAATAAAGCAGTCCTGTACGGATTCATACCTAACAATGCTTCCACATCCGCCATATCGGATGTAAGAAAATCATCTGTGTCACATAACGATATAGATACTGACACTATGAAATGAAAACTGTTTACAAACATTTGTTTCTGCTTTTGTGTGTGTGTGCGTGTGTGTGTGTGGGGGAGGAGAGGGATAGGGTTGGTGGAGGGGAGGGGGCGCAGGGTTGTCAGAGGGCTGCATTCCTTCCTTAAACTCTGCATTCCTTGTGTAAATTTGCTCTTATATTTTT